TTTGGGGAAGAAAGGAAACTGTGAATGGTTACTGGGAGGAGAAAGCCACCAAAGGACACAGAGAGGCGCAGAAATGAGTGTTTTATCTGAAAGGGAAGAATGGGGGTTTTTATAGGACATTGGCCCTTCCCTGGGCCACTGTCCATCACATTGGAGAAGCCCAGGACATTGGAGTTCTCTGATCTTGCTGCTCTGCCTTCCTGAGAAATAGAGGGGGTGGCTGTTCAGAGTCATGTCCCAGGAACTGTACCCCTGAGATGGACAAAGTTGAGTAACTCCTTGCCTCAGCCCCAGAGCACATTTCAGAGATGGAACAGCAGATGGGCAAGGTCCTAGGTGGTGTGGTCCCAGGTGACATGGGACAACAGATGCAGTGTCTGGACTCTCTGAGCCTAGAGAAGCCCAGGCCATTTACAGCCTTCAGGCAGGGCTGGCCATGGAGGGACAGAATGACTGAGTATTGTGTGAGGCATTCCTTCAGTGTTTTTTTGAGATGTGAGTGGGGCCAGGAGAGGTGAGATTGACTGTTGGATGATGAGGGGGAGAGGGTGTTGGTGCTGCCTGGTTCAAACAAAAACACCTCACCTGACTGGTCACCTTTTTAAGAAAGTAGGGAGGGTAGCTCCTGTGTCCCTTTTTGGTAATTCCCACTTCTAGTCCTTCCATCTCAGCCTAACTTTTGCCTTCTCTGAGGTAGTATTTTGCACCAGCCAGAGGCAGCCATCTTGCTGTTGGCAAGGACCAGCCTTAAAGCTGTTTATTAACCATACCACATTTATGGCAGGGGCCTCTCTGCAGCCACTGGGATTAGTAGTGAAGGTGACCATAATGGCTTGGAGGATCTCAGGCACTTTTTCTGACCTCAGGCGCTTCTTTAGGCCCTTGTTTGGCTTGTGTGTTCTAGTGAGCTTACTGCTTAGTGCTGTGTCTTAGTTATCTAGTGCTGCTGTAACAGAAATACCACAAGTGGATGGCTTTAACAAACAGAAGTTTGTTTTCTTACAGTTTAGAAGGCTAGAAGTCTGAATTCAGAGCGCTGGCTCTAGGGGAAGGCTTTCTCTCTCTGGTGGCTTTGGAGGAAGGTCCTTTTCTCTTTAGCTTCTGCTTTCTGGTTCTTTGGCGATCTCCATGTGTCGTGGCATCTATCTTAGCCCATCTCTGCTCTGTTCGTTTGTTTATTCTCTTTTATATCTCAAAAGAGATTGACTCAAGATACACCCTACATTGATCCTGACTCATTAACATAACAAAGACAACCCATTTCCAAATGAGAGTATAACCACAGGCATGTTGTTTTTGTTAGGTGCTGTTGAGTTGATTCCGCCTTATAGCAGCCCTGTGCACAACAGAACGAAACACTGCCTGGTCAACCACAGGCATAGAGGTTAGGTTTTACAATGCATATTTTTAGAAGACACAATTTAATCCATAACATTCCACTCTTTGGCTTCCTAAAATTCATGTCCTTCCTACATGCAAAACACATTCACCCTATCACATCATCCCAAAAATCTTAAGTCCAAAATCCCATCTTCTGAATCATCTGAATCAAATATGGTGAGACTTAGGCGTGTTCCACACTTGGGCAAAATTCCTCTTTATCTGTGAACCTGTGAAATCTAGACTATAAGTTATCTATTTCCAAAGTATAATGGTGGAACAGGCACAAGGAAGACATTTCCATAACAAATGGGAGAAATTGGAGGGAAAGAAGGGATAACAGACATCAAGCAAGTCCAAAACCCAGCAGAAAAATCTACATTCACTCTCAAAGCTTGAAAATAGTCTTCTGTTTTCTGATGCCATCTGGGCAAGGGCCCTGCCCTCTAGACTCTGGGTATTGGCCATGCCCTCTGGATTCTGGGTGGAGGCTCCTCGGCCCTGCATTTCAACTCCACCTTCTAGGCCCACTGGGACGGCAACACTGCTCCCTCAGCTTTGGGCATCTTCATTCTCCTAGTCCATCTGAGTGGCAACCCCACCTCCTTGTCCCCAGTAGGTCCTATTCTTCTGCCCCTTGGGCATGGAGGCTCCACCCCCTCAGTTTTGGGAGGTGGTCCCATTCCCCTGGCACACCTTAATGGCAGCTCCACACTTTGGAACGCCGTTGGCGAAGATCAGACTCTTCGAAACCTAGGAGGCTCTGGCCCCACCCTTTGAAACCAAGAAGGCCCTGCTTCCCGTGCTCTTTCCAGTAATTCTGCTCATCTCCCAGCTGCTCCAGGGATGGTCCTTTTCTTTTCTTGGAGGACAACAGACGTAGCTCCTCTGGCCTGTTTCCTGCCTGTAGAATTCCAAGAGGCAGACAGCATTCTTTCCTTTCATTCTTTCTCTGTCCCCTTCAGTTAAAGCTGATGGATTTTCTGTTACAGTAGTTAGTTAGATCCATCAGTCACAGGCTTAATCTCTTTAACAAAAGATTGTGTAGCCACATCCTTCGTGAAAATTCTAGGACCTGTGTCCTTAGTGTGTACAACAGAATTTTCCAAATCTTAAACTTTTGTTTTCATTTTGTACAGTTCATTTTTAAGTCCATCTCCGTCCTCTTGTATTTTACTGTAAGCGGCAAAGAGGAACCATGCAGCCCCTTTAAGATCTTGCTGAGAAATCTTCTCAGCCATATATCCAAGTTCATCACTGTCTTAGTTATCTACTGCTGCTATAACAGAAATACCACAAGCGGATGGCTTTAAGAAAGAAATTTATTCTCTCACCATCTAGGAGGCTAGAGGTCCGCATTCAGGGCACCAGCTCCAGGGAAAGGCTTTCTTTCTCTGTCGGCTCTGGAGGAAGGTCCTGGTCATCAATCTTCCCCTGGTCTAGGAACTTCTCTGTGCAGGGACCCTGGGTCCAAAGGACATGCTCTGCTCCTGGCACTACTTTCTTGGTGGTATGAGGTTCCCCTGTCTTGATGCTGGCTTCTCTTTTATATCTCAAAAGAGATTGACTCAAGATACAACGTAATCTTATAGATTGAGTCCTGCCTTATTAACATAACTGCCTCTAATCATGCCTCATTAACATCATAGAGGTAGGATTTACAACGCATGGGAAAATCACATCAGATGACAAAACGGTGGACAATCACACAATACTGGGAATCATGGCCTAGCCAAAGTGATACACATTTTTGGGGACACAGTTCAATCCATAACAATTACAAGTTCTACCTTCCACCAAACATTCAAACATAACTCAAATTCTTTGCCACTGTATAGAAAGCATCACCCTTCCTCCATTGTCCAGTCACATGTTCATCATCTTTTAAACCCTCACCAGAAGCATGTCACCGTCCACATTTCTAGCAACATTCTGTTAATGGTGCCATATGTATTCTGTAAGACGATAGAGGCTTTCTCTATGGCTCTCCTCACTTCCGAGTCCTCACCAGAATTGCCTTTGACATCCATAATTCTTCCAACAGTCTCTTCAAGGCAATCTAGGCTTTTACTATTCGGCACCTTAATACTCTTCTAGCCTCTACTCATTACCCAGTTCCAAAACCACTTCCACACTGTGGCTATCTGTTAGAGCAGCACCCCACTCCTCTAGTACCAAATTTTTCCTTAGTTATCCAGTGCTGCTATAACAGAAACACTACAAGTGGATGGCTTTAACAAACAGTAATTTATTTTCTCAGTTTCAGAGGCTAGAAGTCCAAACTGAGAACGCCAGCTCTAGGGAAAGGCTTTCTCTGTTGGCTCTGGACGAAGGTCCTTGTCTCTTCAGCCTTTGCTTCTCGGTTCCTTAGAGATCTCTGTGTGTCTTGGCATTTATCTTACCTCTGCTCGCTTGTTTAATCTCTTTTATACCTCAAAAGAGATTGACTCAAGATATACCCTATACTAATCTTGCCTCGTTAACATAACAAAACAACCCATTCCCAAATGTGATTATAACCACAGACATAGAGGTTAGGATTTACAACATATATTTTAGGCAGACACAATTCAACCCATAAAAGGCTGTCTCTGCAGCCCCTATCCAGTCAGAGCACTCCCAGCAGAAGCCACCTATCAGGGCCACAGGCGTCCTCTCCCACCTCGCGTACCCACACCATCAAGCCAGTGCCCAGTGAAAGCATGGAGGCCCACAGAGCAGACGTCCACTTAGAGTGACATTGCCTCACCCTCCATGTCAGGGACGCTGCCAAGCATGTTACAGCCTTGCTGAGCCAGGGTACAGGTAAAAGCTCTTTCTCTAGAACGAAGTTCTTGTTCATTGTGCTTTCCTGCCTCCCATCTAATGACACCCTGTTCGTGAAGAGAGATGAGAAAGCATTCCAAATTTAAAAGATAAGGAGAAGAGGATGTCATCTAACCCAAGTTAATGCATACTGTAGATAAATGCCTGACGTTGGACACGGATGAGGGGCAGGTCTCCGATCTACCACTGTCCTTTAGCTCTTCATCTGTAATCCTAGCACATCTCACCTCAAACCTGTATCTCTCCCCTTTTAAAATCTCTCCACTGCTAGCACTTTTTGAATTGGTACTGTATACCAGGCATATTTCCTTTCTCATTTATTCATTCATTCAACAGATATTTACAGGGCATGAGCTATGTGCCAAGTACTGTTCTAGGTGCTGGAGATAGAGCAGTTTACAAAGCAAAAGCCCTACTCTTATCGAACATTCATTTAAGCCCACACCACGCTCCTGTGGGGTCTATATTATTATACTGATGTGGAAACTGAGACTCAGAGAAGTGAAGTAACATAGCCAGTGGCAAACAGCTAGTGGGTGATTGAGCCACCATTGGAACACAGGTCTGCTGGTCTCCAGTCTGCGTTCTGTGCCTTCCCTTACTGGATTGTTCCAGGCAGCACTGGGAGAAGGACTCGGGAAGCATCCTTGCCATCTGCCCTGCCCAGCCTGAAGTGGGGACCATGACTTTCTCTTCCCATCTGCCCTTCTTCATGCTGGGTTGAGGGTGCAGGGCATGGCTGGAGCATGGAAATATTTGTGCTCCTGATGCTGGCTTTCTCATCTGCCTTGCAGGCATCAAGCAAAAAGGCCCGATGCTGAGCAGCAGCCTGATGCACTCCGAGTCAGAACTGGACAGTGACGATGCCATCTTCACGTGGCCAGACAGAGAGAAGGGCAAACTCCTGCTTGGTCAGAATGGCTCCGTGCCCAATGGGCAGACCCCGCTGAAGGCGAGGAACCCACGGGAGGAGATCTTGTAGCCACTTGGTCTGTCTCCTCAGGGCAGGGGGTGGGCAGTGTCAGGGCCCAGAGCACTGTCAGGTTGGGCTCTCAGGCCTCCCAAGTCTCCGGGCAGCTATTCTCCCTGCACCCTAACTCTCCAGCCAGAACTGCTGGTACTTGAATCCAGAGACGTTCTCCAGGAACTCCTGATGAAGCTGTGAATTAAGAGGTTTCTTCTTTAAACTTGATAGGCCCCCAAAAGATAACATACATCTCAGGGCTTCATCTTTGGCAAACTCCTTCCCTGCCCCAGGGTTGCATACAGCCAGTCCCTGGCCTCCTCTCCAGCTCCTCTGTTAGCAGCCTGGCTGCTCAAGAGTACCTGCAGGAAGTGGGGAGGCCTGGCTGTGGCCCCGGGAAGTTCTGCCAAGAGCTCCACGCCTCCCCCTGCACCTGCGGCACAGAACCGAGCGCCACCAGCCTCCTGCGAGCTGCCTGTGGCCTGTTCTCTGCTGTCTGTCTCTGGGATGGGGTGCGCCCTCTCACTGGGCCAAGAGGAAGTGGCTAACCCATTCCCTCACCACTGATGCTGGGATGGTTGTACAGACCTGGTTTCTGGTGCCCTTAGCACTGGAGCCCCACCCCCTTTTCCGTCTGCCCAAGGTTATGGGAGGACCAGCCCTTTCAGGGATGCAGAGGCTGTTGGGCCCCTGTGGCTGCTGGGGCTGTGGTGTCGGAGCAGCCAGGCTGATGCAGACTGTCTCCCCTCCTCTTCTTTGGGCCAGCACTTGCTGCTTCAGGGCTCAGGCCAGCACTCCTGTCCCCAGAAGAGACAACACACACTGACTGGAATATCGTGGCATGAGAGTGCATGTGTGCGACTGCCCCACCGTGGTCTTCTCACACCCATGTGTGTCTTCTCTGTGTCCCTTGCATGTGTGTTTACGTTAGAGTGCGCGCGTGGGCATCAACTCTTTGTAGGGCTCTTGGCTACTCACAAGGCAGCCTTGACTTGGAAAGACCTTCAACTCCTTGGAACAGAGACTTCCTAAATGCTTGTGGCCCCACCACGGGTTCCTCAGCCACGGTGTCTGGGTGTGGAGGAATGGGAGCTTGAGGGGAGAGACTTTTTAAAGAAAAGACTTAACAGTTTGTACTACTGCACTCCTGTCTGTTGTGAGATGATTAAACCTGCTATTTAATTGTACACCTGCCTGCTGGGTGTGCTGCATCTCTGACCTGCACCACAGGTCCAGCCAGCTGTGCCTCTGTGATGCGCTGGCCACTGGTACGGAAGTGTCAGGCTGGCGTCAGCGTGTGGCCACAGTGCTGGGACCCTGCCTTAGCTTCCTGCCCAGCGTTGACGGACAGGAGCCAATCACTCCTGCGCCCCTGCTGGCCAACTGCTACCCTTGGCCAAGGGAGGGGAGTTTTATGTCCTTTTCTTACCTTTTGTTAACACAAACATGACCCCTGTCCCCATGTGTCCAAGCTGGGGGACACAGAGTGTCCTCAAGTCCAGGCTATGGCCTTTAGAGTTTCTGGCCACTGCTCTTCCCTTTTCGGTTCCCAAATCAATAGGGTTGGCCACATGCCTCCAGACACAGTCATTGTATATTGTTCATGGAGCACCTTAAGGGTCGTGTGGGGTAGAAGAAGGGCTGGTGTTCAATCTTGGACCCCCAGAAAGGGAGAGGAGGACCACTGAGCCATAGCAAGATGAAGTAATTTAGCCCACACAGATAGTAAATGAAAGGATTAGAACTCAGGCCCAGCAGAGCCTGAGTTCTCAAACTTCAGCATGGATCAGAATTCCCTGGAGGGTTTGTTAAAACACACATTGCTGGCCCTACCCGAGTTTCTGACTCAGTAAATGATGAGAGTGTGCATTTCTAACAAGTTCCAGGAGATGCTTAAGCTGCTGGTCCAGGGGCCACACTTTGAGGACTGCTGGTCTCATAGAGCATATTTAGTGCAACAAGAATCAGAGGCAGCACGTCACCTGTTCTGATTATTTATTTTATATTTTATTGTACTTTAAGGGAAAGTTTACAGTTCAAGTTAGTCTCTCATACAGAAATTTATACATACATTGTTATGTGACCCTAATTGCTCTTCCTATACTGTGACAGCACACTCCTTTCCACCCGATTTCCCATGTCCATTCAACCAGCTTCTGACCCTCTCTGCCTTCCCATCTCATCTCCAGACAGAAGCTGCCCATTTAGTCTCAAGCATGTCGGCCATTCTGAAGTGAAAGAAGTAAGTTCAGAGAAGGGAGAGCTCAAATCTGCCAAAAACTGTAATCCAAGCTAGGGGTACAGGTTTTCTCAGTTGGGAGGGGTGGGGATGGGGTAGCGCAGTGGAGCTGCCCCAACTTGGGAGGGGTGGGGGTGGCCTGGCCAGGTGAAGAACAATCAGTCAGCCCCGCACAGGGCAGAAGCCACTGGCAGCTTGGGCAACAGAAACAATGGAGCTGGGTACAGGCCAGACTGCAGTAGGGCAGATGGCAGGGAGGGAACTAGGAACCGGTGAGGTCGGTGTGTTGGGAGTAGCTTTAAAAGGTTCAGGAAGTAGCTACAGGATTTGATGACTTCTTTATTGGCCTTGTAGGGAGGTTTCCTGTCTCCTCTGGGACTCGTTTCTCTATCTTATCTCAGCCACGGCTCATTGAAGGATATATTTTTATCTTAGTTTCAGAGATGAAGAAAATCATTTTCATCTCCTATTCCTCACCAATAGAATGACAAAAAACAAAGCAAAACAACAACAACAAAAAAAAACCAGGAACTGATACTGCTTTCCAGGCTCGGGGTCTTGCATAGAGAAGACTGCCACATCCCTAGTCTTCCCTGACTGAGGAGAGTGCCAGCAATCCCTGGAGCTGCTTAGGGAGACCTAGGCTACAGCCAGATCAACCCCTGCCACTCCAAAGCAACCCTTCCTATTCGTTCTCTCAAATAACTTCATTCCAGGAGCCCGGGAACCCTGCCTTGACCAAACTTAGCTAAACAATCCATCTTCACCAAAGGCCCGCCAAGTCTTTCCTTTTTCTAGAGTGGCCGGAAGGAAGGCCAGTGGAAGGGATCTTCGCATTTCTGGAACCCCACTCAGTACTGTGTGCATAGAGGAAACTTAGTCACCAAGAGCAACACTCCCAGAAACCCCCTAGGGCTGGAGGCTGCAGCTTTGGCCTTGCTTGGGGAACTGCAGGCGAGAGATGCTGATCCCTGTTCTTCCGGCTTCCCTTTGCCATTCATGGAGAGGGGCTCTCTGAAGATCAGTATGGAAAGAAGGTGAGTGCAGTCAGGAGCCATCAGCTCAGGAAAAGAGGATTGGAGGAGCATGGATCAGGCCATCAAGTCCTTCATAGAATTGTGTTGACTAGTTTAAGAGCCCCCTGTAATCTCCGGTCAAACCCAGGCCATCATTGCAACTCTTCCCACCCACCTACCCCGCAGTATGTGGTTGGTGCTGGTGGTGGCTACCTAATACCCAGGCCTTCACAGGAGGGGCTGTGGCCGTCCACCCTTGGGCCTCCCCACAAGGCCCAGACGGGTGTGTACCTCTCAGTGTCCAAGTACTGCCCAAACAGGTAGAATTCCCCTTCCTTCTGGGATAACTTTCTGATTTTCAGTTTGACATTGACAAGGGCACTGATAAGGCTCTTTTGGTCACAAAGAACAAAAACGCAGGTCGCCATTCATGGGAATGAGTCAGGCCTCGACCAGCCCCCTGTCCAGTTCTCAATGCAGATGTGAAACATCTCTGCCTGGAAGCCTCCGCTGTGCCCTCCTCCACCTTCGCAGCTATACTTAGACTTGCTGCCCACACCCCTCACTTCCAGCTCATCAGTATATTCTGGTGCCCTGACGTCAGTGGGTCACATTCCAGCTGCATATTACAATCACCTGGGGGACTTACTTTTAAAAAGTACTGATGCCTGGAACCTACACCTCAAAGGTTAACTTGACTTTTAAATATGTAACTGATCTTCATTAATTCTTCAGATAATTTGTGCAGCCATACCATGCCCTAGAAAAGGGAGAAAGCAGGCCTCAGCAGCTCAGCTCTGAAAGACTTGCAAAACAATTAGGTTTGAGTAGACAAAGAAGGAAAGCACTCAGGCAGGCACCCCCATACCTCCTAATCACCTCAGGGAGGAGTCTTTGGCGTTGGGTGTGACAGATTAGCTGTTCACCAAATCAGATTCTCGTTCCCAGGACACACAGTCTATTTCCCCAGCATCCTGCACAATATGGGCAGAAGGGGTGTGTGTGCCATCTTCAGCCCTGCCCCATTAAAAACCTCCCTCGGTGATCCTTCCGCCCTTCCGCCATCTGCTGGCCACATGCAGAGGACTGCTCGCGGGGCTCAGGCTCCAGGCCTGGGCATGGTGGAACCACAAGGTGGAAGGAGCCTGGTCCTTGAACCACCACTTAGGAGAGAGCTGCCCTGTCAAGAATGGTTGCTGGATTGTTATGAGAAATAAGCTTATCGTGCTAGCCACTGCATTTAAAAAAACAACAACAACACTGTTTTAATACCATGGGCCCAGGTCCACTTCTGTGACAGGCCTCCACAGGCCCTAGTAAGCTACCAGAGTTGACACTGATGCCTGTGAAACACCGCATGGGCTGCAAGGGTGCAGCTGTAAGAAAAGCGCACCATCATCTTGGCCAAATAGCTCAGGGGCTGCTCGTTCTTTCTGAAGAGCAGACAGTAGTAACTTGGACCCTCCCCTAGGATAAGGGGATCTGGAACCAGTAGTGTGCGGTTTGGGGGTTTGAGGGCTTGGAGAGGAATAGTTAGCAGCAATCTGAGACTTAAACCCCTAGATATATGTGGGGAGAAACTTCCCACCTGACTGCTGACACACGGTCTCAGTAGTCCCCATGGCCTGCAGCCCAGTAAACCAAACTATGTACTTTCAAGTGCCTATTTCTATGATCATGCTTAAATGAAAATTCAGGACAAGTCCAGTGCAAAAAATGTTTAATTCAAACTTTGTGCTATAAATGGCTGCATTTGGGAATTTTTGAACTAGGAATGTAGCTACATGGAGGAAAGTCAGTATCTTTGTAAATCTGTGGGCAGTCACCACACCCAGATTCTTCAAAGGAGCCAAGGGCCCTTAAAAAGAACAATGACTCCTGGTCAAAATCAGCATGCCCCAAATGGAGAATCGAGTTATCATGGGTACACCTCATGTGGTTTTCCTTGACATTTATTAGCTGGCTAAATAAAACATTAAATCAGATAAAGGGCCATTCTTTTGGAGGAGTTTAAGCCTTTTTCTAGGAAATGCCCTCCAGTCTTCAAGAAAATCATAAGCCCGCTAAAATCTCTCCCTCTGAAATCTGGAGCTACATTTGGGGCTACAAAGAACCACGTGCCTCTGTGTATAGCACACAGCCTTTTGTCCCCCACCTGCTTGCAGGTTCTTATGTTTTTAACACTCTTAAAGCAAGTGTTATGTGGGAGACAGATGATCTAAGAGTAGTCAATGCCCAAGAAAACTTCCCATTCTGATTCTGTTACATGGAGACAAAACACTTAGAGTCACAAACATGTATGCCCCCTGCCTATGAGGGTTCCTGTTATGCGACCCATAAGCCATAAGTGCCCATCAGTGATTAATGCTAACAACGGCCAGCAGTAGAGAAACCACAAACCTGCCCATCTTCAGGAAAGAGACCACTGCACACTACTTTATCCCTATCTTATCTCGAAAATCCCATGCTAGCTCTCTCAAAAGCAGAGCACTTTAAAAAATGGTACTCTTTTGGAACTAGTATCCCTGGGTGGTGCAAACAGTGAACACACTTGGTTGCTAACCAAAAAGTTGACAGTTTGGGTCCACCTAGAGGCTCCTCGAGAGAAAGACCTGGTGATCCACTTCCAAGAAACCAGTCATCAAAAACTATGGAGCACAGTTCTACTCTGCCAAGTGGGCTTACCATGAGTCAGAGTCAACTTGATGGCAACTGGTACATGGTACTCTATGGAAATACTAAATACCATACTTTTTTTTGGAAAAGCAATATAAACTTCAGCATTTTTAAAAGTACTGATATCATCATTTATTGTCATATCCCTAGTTGCTACCACAGTAGCTGGTGTACATCTTAAAGGCAGATATGTGTACCTATGATGAACACAGCCTAGTGAGCATCAACAGAGGTGTGTGGAGGGGGTTCCAGGACTACAGGAAACTGACTGACCCAGCCTAGGGATGTGGAAAAAGTGGCTTCTCAAAGGAAAATGCCAGCTGAAGAGGGGAAGAAGATGCAGATCTAGTCACTGCTAGCTTCCACTGTGCTGATATGCCAAGGAAACTTGGCCTAGTAGGTTTCCAGGTAAAACTACTTAAAACAGTTAACAATAATAACACGTAAGATGGGAGTGGTGATTGAAATTAAAGTCCTTCCATAGGAGGACGGTAGAAATACTGATTAGAGTTTAAGTCAGGTATTCATGTTATAAATATTGAGAAAGCCACTAAAAATTCAGAACTAGAATACATGACTTCCAAACCACAAGAAAAGATAGCTCAATTAACCCCAAAGAAAGCAGAAATGGAGGGGGAACAAAGCAACATTAAAAAAAAAAGATAACGACCACCATAGATTAAATGGACCAAAGTTGCCACTTACAAGGCAGTTGTCAAATTGGATAATAAAACCACCACCACCAAACAGAAGTTAACAGATTGGATATACCTGTACATCTATACTTACAGACAACTAAAATAATAACGGAATGAAAAGGACAGCACAAAATATACTAGGGAGTTTGGTTCCTATTAAGACAAAAACCAAAAAAATCAAACCCGTTGCCATCCCCATAGGGTTTCCAAGGAGCAGCTGGTGCATTCTAACTGCCTACCTTTTGGTTAGCAGCCATAGCTCTTAACCACTGTGCCACTAGGGTTTCCTCCAAAGCCCTAGGGCTGGTAAATGACAGGTAGGAATTGTGCCTCCTCCCAGAGCGGCTTCTTCCTTATGGTCTGAAGGTGAAACTTTGAGGAGTTGTCGGTGGAGTGGTCAACAGTGGGTGCCTGGAGATC